CGTCCTCATAAAACCAGTGAGGTTATGATTAGACCGGAGGCCCTAGATTGGTATGATTCCTTAGCGACTTTCTGTATCATCCCCTGACCAAGCACTATCCGAGGAAGTCGTTATTAGAATGAAACAGTTTCATGTTATATTCATCGAAAATAAATCCCTGTTTGTTTGTACCAATCTTTGTCCCTACTACATAAGAAGCAGGATGCCCGGCGTAGCCGGGCATTACATAAGAAGGAGGAGAGCCCGGCGTTAGCTGGGCGATCCGACTGGTATGTAGTATATTACAAATTGACTATTCAGGAGGATGAGAAACATGTTCTTTGTTTACGTATCGCGAAAACGAGTGCGCTTAACAATTGCAAACCAATCGAGGTCAAAAGAGGAACTGCTGAGCGTGATAAGGTAGGTTACCAAGTGGAGAAAGAAGGAAAAAAGTAGTATGAAAAACATGGCGAATTGTCGTGGGAGCTCTTACTTCACAGTACTAACGTTGCGTTACGCAGTAATACATGCATACCGAGAAGGGGACGAAGTATTCCATGATGCTAATTTGTAAACCTCTCGGTCCCTTCGAAAAGGTGTTCCGTTTCACAAAATAAGTGACGGCAAAAAAAGACAGCTAACAAGAAATATTCACTGAAAATAGGGAAGATGGGGGTTAGGCTGAATTTTTAATTCTGATGACCACCTACTACTTGTCTGTAAGACACAAACCTTGTACGTTCACCTTTCCACACATTCTTGAGCACTGGTGGTTGGCGGCAGTCGAAGACCAAAGTGGGATAATCCGTAGATCCAGAAGCTTATAAAGATCGCAAATCAGATGTTAGTCTCAGGTAGAACTAACTTCAAGCCAAAAGTTACCCTACGGTGCAATTGCAGAGATTCTCTAGTGAAACCGGTTGTACCACAGGGCGCTGACGCCCGGTTGACAACAAATCGATGATTCCGATCGATAATCAATGAAACTGACTGTGATAATTGGACATGGCCAATTTAAGTCTACCAAAAGGTGATAAATCCATGCGATATAACTTGAAAACGCAGGGTCGTCATTACTTTTCGACTCTTTTAGCATGGGCTCTCATACCCCTCCACTCACCGTGCATTGGCCCATTTCGCGTACCGACAGAGAGACAGACGACAATAAAGGATAAAGTTTAGGATAAAGTTTTTGGCGTTAATCAATCCCGCCTGAGAGATGCGCCCCCGCACTCGATTCCATTCAGAATCGTAGTGGCGTAATGAGTGCTTATGTGGCCTATACAATGACTTGCGGTGGCCAGCCGATGTACACGTCAGTGCTTTTATCCTCCCAGACGAGTCTGGTACCAATTTAACGACCCCGGAGGGATGGAGGGCTTGGTTGGCCTAGGCGGGCATCGATCCGGGATTCGAACCCCTGACCGTGCGTGTGATGTAGTGCGCCACTTACCGCTACACCACCTTGACCCTAACAGACGACAATACGCACATCAAATTACTGGTTCATATAAAAGGCGCATTGGAGGGTACTTCAAAGGCTATTTATTTTTAAATGACAGAAAAGGGATTAGATCCTGTGAATACTCGCCTTCCTAACGACATAAAAATGTTGCATGCTTGCAAAGTACGCAGCTCGTTTATGCAAGTACAATCTAAGATTATTGCATATTTAGCTACCGAAGAATAAGTGTTCTAAGAAAGAGTGGGTCAAATGCTACTGCGAAAATGGGTTCGATCAGTGCTACAATAGTAGCAAGGTTCGTTAGTTTTTTGTTCTAAATATGTTGAAATTTGTTCCATTAAATTTCAAGTCCCCTTTCTGTTGGTTGAATTCCGAACTAAGATGGCAATTTTATTGAGATGAGCTGCAGCCCTTCATTAACACTAAGTGTATCATCCGATTATGAAGAGGTCTTACCGACAGGTGAGAGAGTGAACTCTGAATAGTTCAATGAAATCTTGTCGATTCTAGTGTTAAATATATAACTGATGATCACGGGATTCCATGCCATTTTGATAACCTGCTTTCGAAAAAGTTGGTTTCACTATGTGAGCGCTGCGTAACGAGAATGAGGAAGGATCTACAACAAAATCAATTTCCTCGCAAGCTATTATATGTAATTCGAGACTGTGCTGCCTACCTCCATCGCTTCGAAGGCACGCCTCACGACAATTTTAGGTACCACTTCTGGGTCAACGAACATAACTGTTCGTGCAAAATAGTACGTCGGCGGAGAAATTATAAAAGGATAAAGTTTCTGGCGTTAATCAATCACGTCTGAGGGATGCGCCCACGCATTCTAAATCTATTCAGGATCGTAGAGGCGTAATGAATGCGTATGTGGCCTATACAATGACTTGCGGTGGCCAGCCGATGCACAAGTCAGCGCTTTTATCCTCCCAGACGAGTCTGTACCAATTTACCGACCCTAGAGGGATGGAATGGTTGGTTGGCCTGGGCGGGCATCGATCTGGGATTCGAACCCCTGACCGTGCGTGTGATATAGTGCGCCACATGCCACTACACCACCTCCGCACGTCGGTGGAGAAAAGAGCTAGAAATTCAGTCAAATTGTGAACTTAAAGGCTTCTCAAAAGTAGTTAATCCTCAGGTATGCACGAATTTACCCGAAAAATTCGTACAAACCGAAATATTTGGATATTTTTGCAGAGAAGATGTGCGATTGCCTCATTAACTGAGTACAGTATCAAATTGCAGAAGATTATTCTTAAATATCGCCATTGGGACAGACGGTATCCAATCCTAAATCTGTGCTGCTGCAAGCCTTGGGTGCTACTCTCTGCATCATTCAGAAATATCAATAGAAATCTTATAAGACCGTTTTTCACTCGACAACGCCCCGTGCTAAGAGACCATAGAGTTGTCAGAGTGAAAAAAAAACTAGAAACCATGAGACATCCCCTAAAATGAACCTGCAACATTCATGTATGCCATATATGACGGTTCGCTGTATGCCACTCCCAGAGGCGGACGAAATTAAAGGCACTGTTCACGAAAAAGTGGTTTCGGAGATTTGCACATGGTTTGAATTCGAAGCCCCCTCTGATACCACTTGTGCAGGAATGAGGTCGGAAAACGGCTGGATAGGGCACAATAAGGGCAGGAACAGTGGTGGACGAGAGGCCTCCGCCCCTCGCTAGGCTGACTACGAGTTCTAAATGATTGTCCTTCACCACATTCGCACTGGAGCGAAGTTGGTGAAAAGTCGATAAGCTGGTTGGCAATCTGCCAATTGGCCGTCTCTGGCAATTTGCCAATTTGCCTGAACCCTCCCTAACCGCCGTTATTTCAATGCGAAACTCGTCCAACCCCCCTTTCCAGCTCTTTTTTTGACCCTTTGTAATTCTTTTTGTTCATCGTTTTTCGCGCTTATTTCGTTGTTATCGCTTTATTCTAGAGTAGTTCTATCAATTCCCGTCAAAAAAGGGTACCCTAACTTTTTTGTGAACGGTGCCTTTAGGGTTTCGTAGAGTTGCGCCATTCACAACGGACATCCAATGGAACAACAAGTCGTGACCCACGGCGACGGCGTATGGCAATTTTCGGCTTAACGTAGCCAGCTCTTTACGCATTTGCAACAACTTAAAACTCGTTCAAAGATCTCTTCACAGCACTTCCGTCATCTTGATCATCTCGTACAATACTTATTTTCACTTCCACTGCTTTCGAAAAGCTCATATTTCAAGAAATCTGGCGATCTATTCGCTTTCTTCACCACCGACAGATTGATGCAATGTCCTTCACCATCATTTATGCTTTTCATTAACGTGAAGAGTGTCTCAAATGATGCATGGGTTGGAAAAAAACTATCCAAGTATTATACCTGACGCATGCAAAGAGGGAACCAGCAGGCGAGAGGTAAGGCCCTATGCATTGTGAGACTGATTTCCAACTAACGGAAAAGCATAAAATCAAGTGGTGAATGCGAACTTCATCCCGTTTTCAAATTACTAAGTGAAATTTAATATGCAAGAACCATCAAATCTCTGAGTTTCAGACATACGTGGATGAACTGCTGGCATCTAATAGTGTGAAGGAAAATTGTGCGAAGACGATAAAGAAAAAGTTACAGGAGAATGAAGAAAGCATGAAAACTACAGCAACCGAAACTCCAACCCCCATCTCGAATACGACAGCAGCGCCTATTACCACGACGAGTCCAAAGACAGCGACCGCTGCTACCACCATCGCAACAACAACAACAGCAGCAGCAACAACAACAACGTCCACTACCCCGACTACAACCACACCTACTACGACTACAACATCAACGACAACTATCCCCACAACAACAGCAACTACTACTACTACAGCCACTACTACAACATCAATTACAACCACTACGACTCCAGAAACAACGACAACTACCACCACAACAACATCAACAGAAGCAACAACCACTACTCCGACATCAATCACAACGACTACGACTCCAGAAACAACGACAACTACCCCCGCAACAACAACTACTGCAACGGCTCCAACAGTTGTCTTAAAAACGATAATAACCGAGACTTCGACAGCAACATCCCTAACCACGACACCGAGTTTCACAACAATGACAACTGCCTCGACTCCAACAATGATGGCGAGCAATTCTACTACAGCAACAGCAGAAATAGTGGCAGTAACCTCTTTAACTCATGCGACGACAACGAAAATCAAATCAAGCACAACAACATTTGAATCTACATCCACATCTCCAATTACTTCCCCAACTACATCTGAAGAAGTAGACACAACTGAAGGTGAGTGAAAACCTTTTCATTTGTTCTTCCACCTTTCAGAAGTCCTCTAGACTAATCATTAAAAAACATGAGGTTTGTGTGAGGTCTTCACACGATGAAAATTGGCTCAGAAGGCGATGTTGTACTTAACGTACGCCAGGACCTATCAGCGGTTGATGCGGCCAAATTTCTACATCGTACCTGCGATGGCGCCTCTTGACCTACGTGCTCAACTGTTTTTCCTATGCAAGATCTCTTTTCCAGAATCTTCGACAACTGATACCTCAGAAATTCCGGGAATAGTCTTAGAGGAAACGTCTGCTAGAGACGAAGCACGGTAGGTTAAAATAAAATTTTGTTCCCACAGCAACTTGATGGTGGCCAACTATATGATGTTGGTCACCATAAAATTCAAGCAAAGACGTGAATAGATTTTCAAACCGAGAACAATTCAAGTTTTGGCAGTTAATAGAACACGTCACGCTCTCATCGACCTTCCTAGACTGGCTCATGACCGAAACGTACCCTCCGAGATCCGTAACAGGTGCTACACTGTCTGGTGAATACAGTTAAAATAAAAAAATGTTTCGGTAGTCTCAAAAAGCAAAATGGGGCATTGGTGGGTTCATACTTCTCAATATGGCCTCTAGAGGTGGTGCCTACTACTGTTGCTTCTCGATATGACACAGAAAGGTCATGTTCAATGGTTTTGTATAGACTGACATCAATCAAAACGGAGCACTTTTGCTGTATAACTAATTCAGTCAGCTGATATATATGGTAACGGCTAGCACATTTGCTCTGCAGCGATAAAAATCTTTCGGATCGGAAACCATACCTCCCCAGTCATGACCCGGCAACCTGTAAAATGACTGGTTCAACAAAAGCCTCCGGGACTTTGCTGAACTTTTCGTTCTTCACCACAGGAGTACTGCGCTGCAACAACAAGCCTGCCTTCTCACCGGCCTAGTTCTTTCCTTAGAAATGATCAGTCCTTGCTTCCCACCCAAGCACAGCTACTACTCAGGCAGTGTCTCTACGCCGTCGTCCGCCTTTGTAAAATGCAATTGCGCCACTTCAGTGTAGAAAAAGATTTGCAATCCAGATAGCTTTTCAGGAAAAAAGCGGCCTTTCGCCTGCTGATTCTCAGCATAGGTATGGTTGTCGTGTTGCTTCTCCAGCTGTTATTCATCAGAATGCTAAGAAAGGAGTATCGGAAACAGTATGAACACTATTTGCGAACTTTTATGAGAAAAACAAGAGATGATAAGAAATCGAAGATGGCCCTGAAAAGTTCACAAGAGCCGATGAAGACTCAGGTCCCATCAAAGATGAGTGGGGAAGGTTTCTTGACACCAGAAAAGCCGTCGATTATGAGCGGTGAAGGCATTCTTCCAGCAGAAAACAAGACATTGAAGATGAGTGGTGAAGGCATTATTCCAGCGGAAAACAAGACGTTGAAGATGAGTGGCGAAGGCGTCTTTTCACCAGAGAACAAACCATTAAAGATGAGCGGCGAAGACATTCTCACACCGAAAAACAATGTCGAGCAACAAGGTCTGAGCTCGTTTAAGTGGAAAGTTCCTTTGAAATCAGTAGGGAGTGATGAAAACGTTATCGATTACTACAATGGAGCACATAAAACTGACCAAAAACCTGACCAAAAACCTAAACCTTGATGGGATGTTGTACATTTGCAACCCTTTGTCACTAACTATAAGTTGCTGTTATAAATCTAATAACATTCTATTTGAAAGGCTATTTTCATCACGAAACATCTTCGTTCTATGTTCGAATAAAGATGAAGCCTTTTCGTTGTAAAGTGCACAGCATGTAACAAGTGTTCAGGTTGTAGTAACAAAGTTCTGTTAGAGGTCCTAGGAGCAAATGCTACCTCAACGAAGTGCGCTCCCTTTCGTGAAAGTTGAACAAAGAAAGAAGCGTTTAATATCCTACTATACATAAAGTGCTGAATGTGTCTGTTGGTTTGTCGGTGGATTTTGGTGTGTGAGCCGGTGCGCGTAGGTGCCTGATAGTGTGTTTGTGTGTATATGTATGTGTGTCTGTCAGTGGGAGTGTGGGTTGTGTGCTTGTGCCAGTGTAGATGTTCGACGGGAATTCCTTAGTTCTTGTCCTCATGTACCGAGAGTGTTCAAATTTGGAAGGAACACAGATGGCTGGGTGGGAGCGCGGATGGTAGTCCACACAGAGTGGTAACACTTGATAAGGATCATTAAGGGAGACTAGAGTGAACCTTTAAACCGTGCAACCTTGGCACCTTGGTGAGTGATGTGGCATAAAGTCGTGTATGCTTGGAGACAGGGACTTAAAACAATTAGTAGCGGTTGGTATGGATCCATAAAAGGCGAGGAGTAACTCGATATGTTACGCTTTTTGGGTTGATAACAGAAACTTGGCACTTTCGTAGGTGATTTGAGCTGTAGAGGAACCGTAGATGAGTTGTGACATGAACTGATAACAACTGGTAGTGGCTGATACGGAACCAAAGAAGGCAAGAAGCACTGGGTCTATTGAGCCCTACCAGTCGAGAGTCACAAGTGGAAGCTTGGCCTCATAGTGAGTGATGTGGTGCGTGATAGGATCGAATGCACTTTGTGATAGGGACTGATAACGAGTGATAGTGATTGATATCCATTCCTCATCGATACCATAACGGGATCTTCCCGTACTCTCGTTAGTAAAACGAAGTGATCCCAATCGATGAGGGTTTTGTGACTTCCTCCCTTGAACCGCAGCTCTGACTCGAATAGAATAAGAATTAATGACAGATAATAAAGGCTGAGAAGTAATCTCAAAAGGTTCTTAGTTTCTGAGCCCTCTGAAGTATTTATAGTTACACAGCGTAGCAAAGGTGAAGGACTGAAGAAAGGAATGCTGTGATTTCTCGTCAAACTGGAAAGTATTAGAAAGAAGTTGGCATTGACCCAAAGCCCGTACCCTGCACAGTATCTCTAGTTTAAAACTCCTTCGGAAACGAGAAATTGACTTAATATCTGCACAAACGTCGTGCAACAGCTGCTACTTAAGGTGCGAAGTGCCGTCCTGAGACAGAAGAAACTGAAGGAGGCCTCGTAGTAATGGAAATAAAATACTACGTCGGATGGCTGGGACCACGCACTCGGAGCCATATTCGCAACGATGTAGTCAGTGTACATTGCGAAGTAGCCCCTTCAGCTGATAAAATGCGCTAACTCTGCTTGGATAGCAAGACCATACCTTACACACCAACAAAAATAGTTGCAAGTCTGTAAAGTGGGATTCAGTCTCTATGTATCCGGAAAACAGCCTATGAGACGTCTAAAGCAGTGTTTTTTGCACCTTGCATGAAGGCTTGAAACTAGTTGACCTCCATCCGGAACAAGCATTCGATCCGGATAAGTAGTGTAGTATCAGTAAACCAGTAAAGCGAACTCCGCTTCTGAGCAGGAGAATTAGGTGAAGAAGAAGTAGAGATTGATTTTGGTTGTTTTCTACAGCAGTTTCTTGGTTGATAGCTCACAAGATAACTGACTTTTATTCGAATTCCAATCCATGCAACATCCTCTTCTTCAAAATGAGCTATCGATAGTGCAATAATAGAGAACAATTTCTTGAGTAGACTAGAAGTTTTTCGGCTGCAATGAATTCTACATAACTGCAAAAACCTTGGGAAAAACAGTTCAGCCAGCCTTCAAATGCATAGGAACAGTCCTAGACAACTGGGTATAATCTCTACTATATATAAAGCCTCGCGCCTGTTTGTCTGTCTGCCTGTCTGTTTGCACGGAAGTTCATAAATCCTGCCTCCGTAGACCTAGAACGCTGAAATTCGGTAGAAGCATGGCGGCATGATGGGAACACTCATGGTAGGTGGCAGGACCGAAGTTTGCGCGAAGTAATGTTTGAGCGGAACTTGGACTTCTGTCTTGTTGGACCTAAGGCTTCGAATATCTAGAGCTTCGAATGTGGTAGGAATACTGGAGACAGGATGGGAACACTTATGATGGGTAGCAAAACCGGGCTCCGCCCAAAGTGGGCCAGTGAGCGGGGCTTGAGCGGGGAATCATAGCTCCTGATCCCTGCACCTAGAGCGTTCAAATTTGGTAGGAAGACAGGTAGCAGGAAGGGAACACTGATGATAGGTAGTAGGAAGACATGTGAGATGTGATGGAGTCGAACTGATAACAACTGATAAGAGCTGACAAGTGGCCCCAGAAAACAAGACCTATTTAAGAAACAGAACTTCGACGGCAGAATCAGATCGGTGTTTAAGATATGTGTTTTGATTCTTTAGTATATACCATTCGGTGAGACGGTATGGTAAAGTAGGGTGACAAAAAGTTAGTGGTAAGGGCAGTGATAGCGACCGATTAAAGCTTCTTCATAATGGAGAGATGAAAGTTCGGTTCATCTACTGCTGTTATAATTACCGCTACCCAGAAAAGTTTGAGACTCTATGTGGAATCACAGTTCCTCTTTGTTATGATATTAGTCGCTACCAAACCTATCCAAACGCCAATACTATAGGAGCCTCTACTGATGGTATATCTTTAAAGAAAGAGTTCCATCGATAACATCCCCCTACTTTACCTCCTCTCCTTCTGAATCCCCTATTCTTGCAATCTGCTTCTCCTTGAGATATAAAGGCCTTTTCTGGGAGGCTTTGCGTGAAAAGTTAGTGAACACGTCCAATAGTTAGTAGCGATATAATGAGCTCTTCCCACTTCCTACGGAGTAGTTTTGTAAGCTAATCATTAAAGTGACTTCTAGTCGAGCGTTGCTTTTGACTATATAATCGCAGCATAACGTTTCCAGATCAATTAATTGATTAATTAATGTGATGCGCGCGTTAGCATGCATAGTTCAACAGGTGAGAAGTATAAGCAGCTCTACTTGTGACCAATTTATCATTACTGGTATCCCAAATGTCAAGTCACAGGAATCGCTTTTCGCACAATTGTGCATTGACAATGTCCTTGTGAAATCCCATAATCTCACATACAGAGCATACGTCGGGTAACCAGTACCATTCCCAACACAACAAACTTTCAGTAGGATCGTCTTTTACGGATTACTAAAACATCGCTCTCAGAAAAGCAAAAACGTTCATCAGAAGGATCTTTTATGAGCAAGAACTCCCCTAAGCATGAGGTCAGTAACACGCATTTACACTCATTACACTCATCCTCTTATGGGAAAGGGCGGAGCGGGGAAGTTCCAAGAAAGTGCACTCTGCGCTATACTCACTTGAGAAATAGCCCCATCACTTCCAATACTGCGATCGCCATAACGACGATCATTTCCGAGAAAGTCTCTCCCCCCTCCCCCCTCCCCCCCNCCCCCCCGCCTCTCTTTCTTCAAAGGGTGTAATGGTGCAACTGGAGGTGTACAGCTCCTGATACTAACAGTAATGAGTAAGACTGATCTGTAGAACATGAGATAGCTGGGTTCGTATAAAAGATGGCTCGCGGTAGGGTTAGTAGTCATTTCGCACTGTTTCTATGGCACCAGTGATCGAGTGGTTCATTCTGCTGAAGCTGCTGCTTCTCTCTGAAGCTGTACTCGGTCGGACGAGAAAGCCTACTAGTTGTGCAATCACAGAAGAGCCAGAGGTAGGTTGAAAGAACTTTACCTCCTCTCCTTCTGTATTCACAACTGTTCAAACGTTCCTCCACCAGTACTCAGAGCGCTTACAAGAGTATTGGTGACGATGCCTTAATGACCTTCTTAAGGCTATCCATAAGCTTCCATATCGAAGCGCTATTCTTCCCCTGAGTGAGAAGGTAATGTTGAACAGGGCTTCAACCTGTCCTTGAGCAGTCCAGCCAAGTCAGGGGTGAAAGCTGAGCGATTTGGTTGACTAATCACTAACCATACTTCGCTTTAGCATGCTACTTAACAATCTATGAGCATGCCTCTTAAACCCAAATGCTAATCCTTTGCCCTGTGAGAGTGGCAAATCCGAACGGCATTTCTCAGGACAGACTCATCCAGCACTGTTCCATTCTGCAGCACAGATGTGCTGCTCAAAACTGCTATATTGGCTTGTCATCGGAAACTCCTCGTTTCTTGACCACCCTACAGAACGTTTCCCACTAAAGTGAAATGAGAACAACTGATGATGGATGTAACGTGTGATATAAGTAAGTGATACTGGCAACCCTTCGCAGCTTCCTCTCCCACTTGCTACCACCGCGCCTAGCGTGTAAACAATGAAGAATGAAAGTCGGTTGCAATAGTTGTTCACTTATCAAATCACGGACATTAGTCAAGACTTAAAGGTACGCACCTGTCTGCAGCGCTAGAAATTCCGTCTATCTAGGCCCATTCATGGTAACGGCGACATAACGCTAGCCGTCAATCGATACCTTGCACGTCGATGGGTTATACCACGTGGTCCAGGCTCATAGCAAAAGGTTAGAAGGGGCTGATTCAGAAATGAAAAATTTGTTCGAGTGAGATGGCTACAGCAAGCTGCTTGCTTGCAACATGTGGGTCCCGGTATGGATAGTGCAACCTCTACAGCTCTACAACGCACCGATGACTCGTCCGTCTAGTGTGCGTGCTTCAGCTAAGCCTGATCTTGGATTATACTCCCTACGCGGACCGTTTTTCAAGCAGACAGCGTCCCTCGTTCTATCGTTGAGGGTCACAGGTTCATCCTAGAGAGGAATCCTGGAACCTTCTTTGTCGTGAGCTGTGCCTTTAGTAGGTGACTTTGCATAGGTCTGTCATCCAAAGAAACAAGGACACTATCATGAAAGACCATCCCATATAAAAGCGCGATGCTCTGCTGCGTCAATCCATTTTCGTGCTATAATTATATAAGAAATCCTATCAGTATAGGAACAATCAATCTTACATTTGCAAAACTCCACAAAGATCTGCCCTGAAGACTACACTACTTATGAGTACACTTTCGGTACGATAGCTAAGCTTTCCGACCGATATTGAGCTTAATGACCGAAACTGGAGTATCGAATCTCTCATCCCACTAGTTAGGTTCCAACAACAGCGTAAAAAATTATAAATTCTCAATCGAAAGAACGGACTTACAGGTAAAAATGGAATGAACAGAACTTTTGGTTGACTTCATTGCGTGTTAACGAAGAAATTAATCATTCAGACCAACAGCACTCATGTTGCCTGCATAGCATTTCCTTTCCCATCAAGTTCCAAGGATTGTGAGATCCCCGTGATGCAAGGAGTTGCACCGAGAACTGCATTGGTAGGTTGCTTGGTGCATGAGAGGAAAAATTAACACATCAAGAATAGAATCACTCTTGTAATTGGCATGTAATAGCAATATTTCCAAAAGGTGCTCAACCAAACCATAAAAGCCACAGACTCTCAAGGATGCAGTGATTTCTCATCAGAAGGTTACGGATGACAAAATTTAGTGATAACTAAGAGAAGGGTTACCAGCAGCAGTCCATGGCCAGAATGAGTAAAATATAACACTAGAAGGAAGGACTGCAGCTGCAGTCTTTCCCAAAGGCGTAATCGCGGTGCACGCAATGTATAAACACAGACTGGTATAAAATCCAATTCAGAAACCTGGCCTAGTTTCAACCTCACTGTGAAATGAAAGCCGCTAACGACTATATAAGGTTCGGGACCTGCACATATGAAAAGAAGGTGTTGAGTGGCGTCATGCTCAGGCTATTATGTGCTGAAATCTCAAAGACTAGCTCCTAATGACAGAGGAAGCAGAGTTTCGATCGATACCTATTGATTGACTTTAACGGGCACACAATTCGAAATCTTTAGTGCAGACTAAAGATGTTCCATGGCTTATATGAATGGAACTAATGAATACTGTATTAAGGGAACGTGCATTGATGCAGGCTGGTGGTTCCAGTGCCCTTGTGAAAAGGGATACCAAAGCTGCATTGATGATGGCAAGGTAAACGTTTACGTTTGAGTTTTAAAAAAACGATCGAACCCAATCATACCTTCTGTAGTATTTCGTTTAGATTTTTGTGAACTCAGAAGTACAGAAGCGCACTGTTCCATGTGTTGAAGAAATTATGAAAACTCTAGAAAAGAAGAGTGTTGATTGGGCAACTACAACCTCAGGAAATGCTTCTCCTTTGACTTCACCAGGGGCAACATCGAAGGCATCGACGAAGTCCAATCACACCGCTACAACCGGAACAGCCTTCACCACTCAGTCAGCAACGCTAGCGGTCAACGATGAAACCATGGGAGCAACAACACTAGAGGAAGTAGGACCACAGATAGGAACAATGGTGTCAGAGAAACCCGATGAAACTACAACTACATACGGGCACGACGAGAGCACAGATTACATTTCCGAAGAACATCATCATGAAGACAATACCACGCATAGTGGGTTGTATAAGCACTTACATTAGCACTTTCTGCTCCGTAAATGATGCAATTTTCAATGAACAACTCTTTTCCTTCAGGGTATCATACTATCGGACATGTCGGTATGTTTTACCACACACTACAACCAAAACACATCCCGGCCATGATTGAAACACGGTACGCCACTCAATTTTTTGTTCATTTCTGGCGATAACTTTCTACGTGATACAGGGCACCAACCAGCGAGGAAGGCAACTGCTGTTTTTTTTGTATCGTCGCTTTGCCACTTTCGCTGAACGTCTTGTAATGTTCAGTGACGGTGGCGAAGTAACAGTTGAGTGTCCACGACAATGTCAGAATTGAACGAGGTCATGCAAAGGTTATGGATAAGCCACGCGTTTTCCATTTGCGGCACAGAGGAATGAGGGCGCATTTTGCTAGACACTGGTAGCACTGGGTAAAACATGGCATTTGAAAAAAAAATCCATTCGACTAGCAAAATCCTTCTGGGTCTGGTACTGGTTCCATCTTTTCTAATCACGCCAGTAAACATCATTTGTTCGAATCCATAGAGGGATGGCTAATGATAACCTTACATGCTTCAGCTTCACAATTCTCAGGACCATTGTGATCATCTTACTCCCAAATCGAAAGGCCGCAGTCGCCTAAAAAGTATCAGCTCGTACCTGCCACCCTTGTATAACCTCAATTTCGACCCTAGTGGACATCCAGTGGTCCCGAACTAAAATTGTTGCTTTGATTGCATGCAGTAAATTGTTGTGGAATTCATCTCCTTCAGTTCGTCTTCATCAGTTCAAGAAAAGACTATCACTAAAGCGTTCTTTTAGGAAAAGAGCGGCTTTCCGCTTATTGGTTCTCACCTCAACTATGGTTATCTTGTTGATATTCCAACTTGTCTTCATCAGAATATTAAGAATCGGTTATCGAAAAGAATACGAGTACTATTTGCAAAGTCTCTCAAGTGAATCGAAAAACGGTAAAGCACCAAAAACATCGAAGGATAAAGAAGCATTGGAAAATGGTACACCTAATAAGGATACAGCACGAACCTCGAAATCACAATACGACAGCAAGGCAACGCCTCCGGCTCCATTCAGATGGAAAACTCCTCCAAAATCAGCAGCATTTGAAGATAACGTTGTTACTGATCCCTATGAAGACAGAGAGAAGGCAGGAGGAAAAACTCAGTCTAAAAATAAAACAGTACGCATGTAGATCTCCTTCACTATTTCGTTGTTTTTAATCTAATAATATTGTAGGAGGCTGTTTTGATTACGGAAAATCTTCTACATAATTTACAATGTAGAATAAAGCCTTTTTTGAAAAGTGGAGAACGTACATCACACGTAAACTATACCCTCATTGAAAATGATTTGGGAAAAAACATTAACAAAGCTAGCACCTTGGCAACGTTGATCCATCAAAGTGATTACGCGAATAAAGAGAACAATAAGTGAACTAAGAAGTGATCGACCGCAATCTGAACTGTCAGAAGCGAGTCCTGAAAGGGAAGGAAAAGGCCTGGTTGGGTAAACTACCCTTCGCTACATAAACATTTCAAGTCAGCCGTTGTGGTGTCGTTCCGCGTTGAAGGGACAACATCACGGTCAGAGATTTCTCATCGGTCCAGATTTATGGCTCTTGAGGTGCTAGGCCACCTGGGACATTGTCGGCTCAAAAAAATCCAATTAAGGCATCACAGAGACTCAAAAAGTGGTCGGGGCACGCACCCATCGTTGTTTGGTAGTCCAAAGGACGAGTGTAGCGGCTGATTGAAAGTTGACATCTAAAAGGGAAACGTATTATGTATGTGCAGCCAGCTGAGCACACTAACAATGGCACACATTGCTCCAAAGCCACTGAAATCTCGTTCAAAAACTGAGGTTGTCCATGGAAATGACTAGATCAACCATTAAACGACTAGATTAAAACTTCAGATGGTGAAAATGTGGTTGGGGGGTGCCAACATTCCGCTCGCTTGTAATGCGGTAAAGGCATGAGAAGTTATCAGGAATTGTGTCTGTAAGCGCTTGTCTTGGGCATCTGCTATTACCGACGTTACGTCCACATGCATGGGGGATTTTGTTGACAACGCTATTTTCCGTGAAACCCCGTTCTGTCGAAATTTGGTGAATCACGAAGAGTTGTACAACATAAGTGCAAGAATAGTGGCATGATCACAAATATCTCATTATTAATTACTACTCAAAGAGCCCTGTTAGTTCACTCATATATCAGTAAACTAGCTTTATCGTAATCATAAACTTATGCGGACGGACACGGTGCTATCTATTTCCACAACCCCTCGCGGTCTGTAATTACGTACTAACTGCAAATACCGTAACGCTACGCTTGGTTTTATCCAGTTTCATAGACATAGCAGTGATTCTCATAGGATTTATATTAGTAGATTCGCTCCTTTTATCTTCCAGCTTTTCAGTACTTTTTTCTACATTGGTTGCCTAGTTCGTTTTCTTTCCTTCTATATTTCTTCTTTTAATTTTTCTTTTTGATCATTTCTTAACTGTGCATCTATAAAAATGCGCTCAGCTTTATCCAACTTCGTGACTGGCAAGGGTGATCGCAGGGTATTGCATATGAATAGTTTGGCTCCCCATCAGCTCTCCACAACTTTTTTCAGCATTGGCTGGCCACTTCAACTTTATGTTGAGTTTTCATTTCTTCTTTTAAGTCTTCGTTTTGATCATTTCTCTACGGCGCATCTATAAGATGATCCAATGCACGTTTAGTTCCAATCTGGATCACTTCGCACTCCAACAGTTGCCTTCTCAGTTAAACTGTAATCGATCCTATGCATTAGAAATTTGAATTTCATTGCATTCTGAAGTATTGGGAAGGAACAGTAAAAAAAGATCCTGAGGCCGAAGTCTGAATCTTTTGCTTTTTCAGAGGAGGCTGGCAGTATGCCATGGACTATGTTAACCATGATCGGATTGGAGGCATAAGTAGCGCTTTCTAGACCTAATATACTAGCACCACCCAAATTATTACATGATATACATGAATACTATAACAAAAGCGTTACTATCAGCTTGGTTGATGGTTATGCGAGAAAAATTTTGCACAACATCCCTCAGCCCTATGTTGTAAAAAATTTGTACCAATTCAGCGTTGCATATTTTATGTTCACACGATGTCTTTTCCCCTTTTTCTTCTTTTTCCTTCCTAATGTTTCAGAATGAAACAGAACTTTGATTTAAGCATCTATATCAGTTCGGTTGATTGCTTCAGCTCAACAATTAAGAAGTTGGCGGAGTTGGAAGTGGTCTCATTGAAACTAAATGTGTATACCTGTAAATTGGAGGAAGAAAAGCTTAACATGAGAAACAAAGCAGACAACCAATATCAAAAAAAGTAGAGAAAAGCTGAAAGCTGAAAAAGGAGCGGATCTAATCATATAAACCCCATGCTAATCACCTTGTCAGTCTATGAAATTGGATAAAACTAGGCATAGC